GATATTTTGTCGAATTCGACCTCCTTGATGAGATAAACGCAATTTTATTAATCACAATTAATAAAATTAAAATAAAAATTAAATTAATAAATTATATATTTTACCCAATTTATCATTAAATATTATTACTATTAGTCCAACCTACAGCAATTTAAAATAAAAAAAATAATGGAATTTAGGATAATCACAAAAAAAACTAATTTTAAAAAGTTTTAACATCCTGTAACTCTTTCTTTTCATATTTTTTGATGAGAAATGATTAGTAGATATTTAAAATTTTGTCAAGTTAACGATACTTATTAAAAAAAATTTTAAGGTGGCTATTAAACTTGGACCAAGGCAAATTAATAAAATTGCGTTTATCTCATCAAGGATACTAAAATCGACAAAACATCAAGTCACAACTTTTAATCGGCATTAAACTGCTTACACTATTTCGCTAAAAAAATAAAAAAAGTCAGTGTCATACATGCTTTTTTTTTGAAAAATATTCCAGTGATAACCCATATGCACGTCCCTGGTTTGGTTTGTTTTGGTTAGGTCGAATGTCGACACTTTTTAGCATTAAAATATGTCGCATTTATAGTAACTTTTACCCTCAAAATTTCATTCGAAACTGTAAAAGTACTTGAACAGAAACACCCTGTATACTTTTATACTGTAAGATGTTGTTTTATATGTTGCTATACAATACACTTATAACTTTATTACCTACTAGACACAATATATCTCTATAGGGTCGCGGTGATTAACCCTCCTCCCTTTTATTCTATATTACCTAGGCATAGAAGCTAAGATATGTCAAAATAAGTGAACAAAATTCGATATGAAAAACGGAAAAATCGATCATTTATTACAATTTGAGCCAGACTACGCCTTCTATAAAAGCCTACCACTTTCGTTCAAAAATTCATATTTTCTAAACACTGCATATCTCTATTACGCTAGAAATAACAATGTAGAAATCAAAGCAGGGAGCAATGATTTAAATCAACAATCAACTTGATTTAAATCGAGATCTAAATAGTGATTTAAATTAACGATTTTATTTTTATTTTAATAATGTATTTAAATAAAAAAAATCAACTTGTTTAAAAACTTATGATAATTCAAAAAATAACTGTAAAACTTATAAGAACTTTTCCTATAAAACTATAAAAAGTTACCTATTCCTATAATAAATATACCCTATATCTATTCGTCAAATACAAAGTTAAGTTGCTGTTGTAAGGTTTAAATAGGTACTTTAATAAATCGAAAAATAATTGTAAAAGATAACATATATTAACATATATACGTACTTAATATCTATTCATCTATTAAAATGTTAGACCGATTTTTAATCATAGTCGATTTTCCATCATAGTCGATCAATACAGCAGCTCAAAAATCATTCGTGCTCAAAAATCATTCGTGCAACTTCGTATTGATTGGAGAGTCAGTTAAGATAGCCGCTATATATATAGGCGATTTATTATTAATAACCATTATTCATTTAATGACTATTGAAATTTCAGGACTTTTTTTTCCTCCCTTTATAGGCTAAACATTAATTAATATTCAAAATATGCAGTTTTTGAGATTTCTAGGAGTACTATCGAATTTTTGAGTGAGTGTCTCACTGCCAAAATTAAAGAACTTTGACTAGCAACAATTCATAAATTATAAGGTATGATTATTAGATATAGTGGCAGTATAACCAGTTTTTGTATGATTTCAATCACTAAAATTATGGTTCTAGTCTCGGTTCTAGCGTTATCAACAACGAAGTTACAGGGAGTCAAAAAGGTTTCGAGTTAATTGTATACTATGTACTTATATTCCAATTTTTAATGTATTTTTATTAAAAAAATGTCTATACGTTTGTGGCGGATTCATCTCTTCAAAAAAGTCCTATGAGTATCTGTTCTCGCTACTTGCACTGTAAGAAAATCTACAGAATAAAATAGTTATTTTTTGTAAATACTGCTGCGTTAATACAACGACCATGCCAAGTTAGCAGCAGTGATTTACTAATAAACAAATTTGCCTAACGGACAATAAATATATCTCTTCCCGCCGTCGTCGGAAGGCAAAAAATACAAAGAACAAAGAAAAAGACTATTTAAGTATCCATCTATGCTTTACATACGGAGTTCTTCAATTTAATTAATTCCACTGTCTTAGATACTGCATAATAAATCAAAACATCCTAATCGAATAACACAACTGTAAATAATATAGCTAAAATAACCACATAATTAGGTACATATTAATATTTATAAATGTACTAGGTTATTACAACTGGATTTTATCCAGGGGTGGATGGGCCATATGGGAAAACGGGAAAATTCCCGGTGGGCCGGCGGAAAGATGGGCCGATGGGCCGGTCCCGATCAGAGCTCAAAAAATGATTGGATTAGCGAAAATTAAATGATTAATCTTCTAACTAAAGTGACATAATATCCTTAGTGACTCCATAACTAATCAATTTGCATCAGTATAATCATCAGTTGCTTTTAAACTACAACACCATTTAAAATAACTACTGTAAAATGTCTTTCTTTAGGACACTTATAATTTTAATCTAGGACACTTATAAATTATAAAAGGTGAGTCTATAAGTGCAAATATTTTCAGGGCTGGTAGATCTCAATAAAATAAACATAATATTAAAGTTTGGAAATTTAAAAAAAACAGATTTATTTTTTAAAAAATTTGAGCCACCTCAATCAGGGATTAAGAAACTATACAGTGGGAAAATTTCCGGTGAACAGGAAGTTCTAAAAAGTTTTCTGAAATATACAGGAAAATTTAAAAGAAAATGCTCGATCTTTAATTTATTTTTTTGCAAAAAAACTCATAAACGTGTTCCTGGGGTCGAAATATACCACCACTGAAAGTATTTGCACTTATTTAAGACTCACCCTGTATAGTTTAATTTTACCCACTATTCCTTATTCTTTTATGAATAACTAATAAATATGACTGACTGGCAGCAGAAAAAAGAATGAATAGCATTAGGTAAATTTAAATAGTCTCGATCTAAATGTATACTAACAATACGGAAGCGTAGATTGACAACTGGGGGCCTCGGTGCAATATTTTTCGAGCTCCCCTTTGTAAAAAGGTAGACGAATTTGACGTGATCTATGCGGTTGACGGAGAAAACATATCTATGCTTGGTTGAATTGGGGACGGACTAAAAGCCAAGTCTAAATTGTTATTTAAAATGTTGCTAAAATGAATTTGCTAAAAATTACTGAGACAGCAGAGAAGAGTTAAATAAGGTTTGAAATAGATCAGATAATAAAATATTAATATGTCTCGAAAATCCAAATATTCTTATTATGGACTGTAACATAGCATTACATCAGAACACATTTACGGACATTTATATCCACTGACTAAGTATTGCCTAGTTTTTTTTTCGTTTTAGTCATGGCATTATCTGTGATTATGTATTTCTCTGATTATAATTCTACGCCACTGGTGAAATCCGGTCTGAGTAGCAATATTTATAGTTTCAAACATTAATTATAATACAGGATATTGAAAATACTACTTGGAATTATTAAAAATAGTTTGCTTTGGATGTGGTACAAGACATATTAAAAGTATTTTACATATTTTTACTGCTATAATGAAAAAATTTACATTTTATGACCACATATCAAAAGTTGTGTATCGATTTTTAACTGTGAAATGTAATTCCAGCCACTTTTTTCTCGCTTCGGCCTTTGCAGCTATACGCTGAACATCTCACCATACTAAACAACACAGTTTATAAATTTAAAACAAAACAGTTGTCACAAAAAACATAAAAATTCGCTCGGTGTCACCTCGAAATCTTGTCACCAAAGTATGGCCGCCGATCGAATTTTGGCCTCACTAACCGATCACGGGAGAATATGCGTGTTACCCGTCCCCTCTCTTTCCTTGTCTAAGGAACTATTAATAACCTAAAAAATGCTGCAGTTTTAATGGCGACCGCGGTTCATTCAGTTAAAAACACGTATACAAGATGAGGCTGCTGCTGTAGCAGAAAAGAGGGAATTTCTTTCTACAATGTGTAAGAAAGTATATACCCGAAAAGATAAAAGTAGTGTATTTCACAGAAGATTGGGTCAGCTGAACTGAATGATGATTCATTCAGTTTATATTCTCTTCTTTTTTGGAAGTTCCTCAAAATCGTGACTCAAAATCGTAGCCTATTCAAGATCAAATTACTGTCGTAAAACTGAGCCGTTTTTAAAAACTGAGCCATTTTGTAGTAAAAATTCAGATGTCCGACCCAATATTGGTCTTTACGAAAATTTGTATCAAGACAATTTAATTTTTTTTAAAAAACCGGAGGCAAAAGAGCTTTTTCGCACGAGCGAAAAACACCCTTACTTATATATTAATAAATAAAATATGTTTCTTCGTTATGGTCATTTTGTTTTTGTGGATTTGGGCCGGTTGCCTGTTTTTCCCGGGCCGATTTCCACTTCCCCATCCACCCCTGATTCTATCTAACAACGTGATTTGATTAGTAACATCGGCACACCAAATTTTATTTATTTATTTACCTATTTTATTGTTTATTTATTATTTTTATTTTACCCTTTACAAACACCTATTGAAGTTACAAACACCTATTTAGTGTGAGTCATTGTTGAAAATAAAACAGGAATTTTGTTTCACCCTATATGAATAAAAATAAAGAAAATTACCTCCTAATTCGAACTTATTAATTTACACACTGTATATTCCCGCCATTTTTAGAAATCTTAAAAACGTTTCATATAATCTAAATATCTATTATTGTTTATTTTATACCCTGCTACTGATTACTACTGCTTGCGATATATTGATTTATTTGTAGATAATTATCCTAAAGTCTAAAGTAATCAATAGTTTCAGTATTAAATCTAAACACGTACGTTTTAACAAGAAATGTACTAAACATCGTACAATTGCATCACAACTGCGGCACTCCTCAACGTACGCCACATCCTTTCCAATTCTGACAGTAAAGATGCGCGATGGTTAGTCGAGTGTGGTGCTGTAGCACATTTTGCATGTACTTTCAGCAAATTTAAGACTTTTTAGTGTTGAAATGGACAGTTAATTGTTTATAAATTATATCTTCATAATAACTAACATATCTGAAGTGTTTTTCTTTAATTTATGTTAATGGTAAGGCGATAGAAAAACGAATTTCAGAACAAGTGAGAAATAACCTCAAAATTGTGCGTCAGACAGCTGTAGTATTTGTCAGAGGTGGGTAAGTTCATTTTTATTTTGTTATAGGGGATAAGATTTGCGGTCCACTCTGGATTCTGGATTTAGATCGCAGCGACAGTAAATATTATTAATTATAGTTTTTATAAAATATTTGTAATAATTTGTATATTATAAAATTGCTAGTAACCGAATAGCAATGTTGGAAAATTTAGTTTGACAACAATATTGTAGTAATAAATAGACTGGTTCTTATGGGAATTAAAGTAGCAGGAAAACATTCAAACGGCAATAACTTCTTTAATTTAAATGGAATGCCCTGTATATTTTAGGAGAATCAGATGCACAATTAAATTGTCTATCAAATTGTATTATACCATTTTTACCTATCCCTTCAAGTTTTCGTAGAAAATGCATTTTCTTATAATTTAGACCTCATTTATCAATATATCCATGGAATTATTTTTTAAATAATTTTTAGTTAATTTTTCTTCATATATAACTTAATTTAAAAACTTAAAGGTGTGTTCAAACATCAAAAAAAATGAAACAAACATGGATTTCCTATTTGGAGGCATTTAAATGCATTAAAAATTAAATATTCGTGTAGAATAAAATAACAAATTCTTAGGTTAAGACATTGAAAGACCACAATTTGTATAGGGTAGTCCAAAACCAGCGGATGTCGATCTAACTCGGGAAAAGTTATATCGATAAAATATTTATAGATAGGTAAATCGGCCAATGGAAATCGTTCGAAAAGTTGGCCTCTAGAGGGTGTTAGAGCAACACAAAATCGAAAATACCAATTTTTTCTTAAATTTATCTGCAAAATATTTTGCAATATAAAAGTTATAGCACACTATTTAATTTCTTCTAAGAAAATCAAAATTTGAAACATTTCAAAACAACGCCATCTATAGTGACCTCTAACAATTTTATCACGATACAGTTTGTAGTTCTAGGTGTAGAGCAAAACAATTTTTTTAATGGAATTTGATTAACATTGGTTCATCCAAAATATCATCATTTGAGTGTAAAAATATTTATCCGTCCTCTGGTACTTCCTAATTCCGGTAAATTGAGGTTAATATGATTGATTTGAGGTAAAATATTATATAAGAGAATTTTTAAAATAAGTGAAATAAAAAAAAACGATTTATGAAATAGTTTTTAATATTACGACAATAATGATAAATATGACACCAATTATTGTTTTGTAAGTCTGGGGACTAGCAAACATTGAATTATTTGACATATACAGGGTTGTTCACCACATACGACACGGAGTATTGTAGCTGAACGATGAGATTTTTACAAATTGTAAGTCTGGGGTTCGTTGAAGGACTATTAGAGCTACAATGTAAAAATATTTTTACAAGATACAGAGTGTCCCAAATAAATAAAAATCTGTATCATAGTTGTATTTTCTTAAATGGAACTCCCTGTATATTATTACATTTTTTAGTTTCTACGATTAAAATAAAGGTAAATTTGATTAAGGTTTATTATACTTAAACCTTACCGTTTTTGAAATATTTTCAATTTTATGAAATTGCAGTAAAAATTTTAAAGCTTTATTTCTCCAAGGGTATCAATGTTTTTAATACTAAATATTTAATGAAGTTTATTTATTGATCAGTTATTGTGTTGCAATAATAAAATAATTACTACCTTATACAGAGTGTCTAAAAATATATATTAAATAATTATTAGCTTCAAAAGGCAATAACTTGTTTAATTTAAATGGAATGCCCTGTATATTTTAGAGAATCAGATGCACAATTAAATTGTCTATCAAATTGTATTATACCATTTTTACCTATCCCTTCAAGTTTTCGTAGAAAATGCATTTTCTTATAATTTAGACCTCATTTATCAATATATCCATGGAATATTGACATTTTAGATTGTTTTTAAAGCAACAAATGCACAAAATGTACAGACTAGTAATATTATCGTTTTAGCAAAACGATAATATTACTACCCCATTAATATGCAAAAAAACTATTTAAATCTTTATAAAAGAGTATACCATTAATTAAATATAACACCATTATTTCCGCCCATATACTAATTAATGACATACTTAATTGTGTTCGTTAATAAATTATTATAAATAAATGTGGATTTTGAGTCAGAAATCAATATAATAATAAGTTATCAAATTAAAGTCTTTGTTGTTATAAATAAGCATTTATTAAAAAATGAAATATCATTTTTAAGGTGTTACTTTTATCACACTGTCTAATGCCCATACAAAATTCAATTTTTAGTATTTGGAGCAATTATTATTAATCAACGCAAACAGTCAGTTAATGTAGTTTGAATACTGGAATCATATTTGGTCCTCTTTAACAAATATTTAAACAGTTTTTTTTTATTTTTTAATCAAATAAACGAATTATATCGACAATATTAGTATCTGTACTCTTTAAAAATTTGGCACATCTTTAAAAATAATCTAAAAATGTCAATAGTCCATGGGTATATTGATAAATAAGTTCTAAATTACAAGAAAATGCATTTTCTACGGAAACTTAAAGAGATAGGTAAAAATGGTATAATATAATTTGATAGACAATTAAATTGTGCATCTGATTCTCGTAAAATATACAGGGTGTTCCATTTAAATTAAACAAGTTATTGCCGTTTGAAGCTAATAATTATTTAAAATAAATTTTTAGACACTCTGTATAAGGTAGTATTATTTTTATTATTGCAACACAATAACTGATCAGTAAATAAACTTCAGTAAATATTTAGTATTAAAAACTTTGATACCCTTGGAGAAATGAAGACTTAAAATTTTTACTGCAATTTCACAAAATTGAAAATATTTCAAAAACGGTAAAGTATAATAAATCTTAATCAAATTTACCTTTATTTTAATCGTAGAAACTAAAATGTAATAATATACAGGGTGTTCCATTTAAAAAAATACAACTTTGATATTTTTTACTTATTTGGGACACTGTGTATCTTGTAAAATTATTTTTAAATTGTACCTCTAATAGTCCTTCATCGAACCCAAAACTTACAATTTGTAAAAATCTCATCGTTTAGCTACAATACTCCGTGTCGTATGTGGTGAACAACCCTGTATAATTTAATTATTGACATTGGAATTATTGACATACTTTTGTAACCTTTTCTGTCGCTTAATTATGTGGAGTTCCACTTTTTTCCTCTGCAAAAATTTTTGAAAAGGTTTTGGTCTCTTTGTTTCACTCGTTGTTTCATCTGTAGGCATGAAATTGATTACATTAAATGGCTTTGCAAAATGCTTTGATTATCAAATCCTGAAAAAAAATATGCTCTAAATTAATAAGATTGGGTATCTTTTAAGATTTCTTGGCTCTGAGTTATAGTCTAAGAGTTGGCTACATAAAAAACCTTATCATCGTTACATGGCTAATTTTTTGTGTGAAGTATCCTTTTGTGTAGTCATTATGAAATAGTCATGTCTGCCAGCGCGATGCCGGGGCTTAAAGCGGGGGCGGCCAAACGACCAAAGGGTGAAATTTTGACACTAAAAATATTATAAGATACATGAGTTATAATTGCGAAAATAGCTTTTATTTATTATTAAGAAACGTGGAAAATTGTTGGCAGACATTTTTCTAATCGGTAAAATGCCGACAGACAACGCGAAAGAGGCATGAAATTTTAAAAATTATTAAAAAATGAAATTTGAAGAATGAAAAAAATTATGGCATATTTGCATGTCGATTGGTGAAATGTCATATTTATTTATTTTAAAAGCCGTATGCAAAAGGACAGACAAAAAGATCGTGGCTCAATCAGCTGCAGACAGTTATGAAAAGCGCGATATTACCCTAGCGCTTTATTCAGGGAACGCTGGCCGCCTCATCCGTTTAAGTATAGATAAATCATATAATATACGATTATATTATAAATATATTTTTTTATTATTTCAATAACTATTTTTTTCTCTGCCCTTTTGCATACTGCTTTTTAAATTAATTAATAATAAACATGACATTCCACCAACCGAAATGCATGTATGCGGTGATTTTCTTTTGTCAAAATTCTATGCCTCTTTCGCGTTGTCTGCCGGCATTTCAGCCACGAGAAAAATGTCTGTCAACAATTTTACACGTTTCCTAATAATAAATAAAAGCTATTTGGCAATTATAACTCGTGTACCTTATAATATTTTTAGTGTCAAAATTTCACCCTTTCGATTGGCCGCCCCCGCTTTAAGCCCCGGGATCGCGCTGGCAGACATGACTATTTCGCAATGGCTACGCAAAAGGATACTTCACACAAAAAATTAGCCATGTAACGATGATAAGGTTTTTCATGTAGCGAGCTCTCTGTCTATTATGAGATGACCCGCCTAATTAAAAAATAAATATAATTCTTTAAATCCAAAACATTCAGTTTTTAGACACTCTGTATAGATAAACAATTAATGATTTTTAAAATATTATTCACAAACTAGGGAGGAGGAAATCAGAAAATGAACAGAGATGATAGGTGTTAGGTAATAGCTTTTAGACTCCCGTTAGGGACACACTGAGGTTAATTTGGTAAGTAAGTTTTGGTCATTGTGACAAAGAGTTTTATTAAAGGTAAAGTAAATGTTTTCTCATTACGTAACTAGGGTTACAGTGTTACTGTCCATTCGTGCCGATGTTTTTGTTTCGGTATGACGTGTGACACTAAGGGCCTTGATGCGTGTACTAATAATTTTCAACCGTGCCTGGGCGAATATCTTGGCAAACAGGTGAACAGTCAAAACCAAAGAGTGGTATAGTTCATAGTCTAAAGATATTGGCACCAAACATATCAACTATAGCTGAGTAGCCTCCCGAATCCAGGGACCTCAGTACCTGCAAATGAGGACCTGCTAACTATCAAAGTATCTTCAAGTTTCAAAATTACAGCATGGTACCCACGAGGAATTAAGAGACCTAGAAGAAAACCGAACCTGAGATAGAACCATGATATTAGGAAATTAGCAGGGATAACTTGGGCGCGCTTCCAACAATAGACAACAATGGGTCCAACTA